CCAATATCTGGTGAAGTGGCGGGGATATCCCGACTCCGAAAACTCGTGGGAGTTTAAGGCGCCACTTCAGCAAGATTGCCCAGTCGCCGTGGACGCTTTTGACCGTAAAGATCAGAACGTCCCGCGTCATCAGACGCCCCGCGCTTCCCGGCAATAACCATGGCAGTAGAATGGCCATGAGCTGAGCTCAAGCGGTGGCCCTGAGCTCTTGCGGTTGCTGACACAGAGCTCGCGGGAGAGTCAGGGGTTGACCCAAACGTCGCAGGGCGACAAACTGAAGGGAGTCGACGGCGTACTTTGAGTTTGGAAAACTCAAATCGGAGGTGGCGCTTCACACGCACGTCCACTTTCTTGTGGCTCAACTGTAAGGCATACAGTGAGGGAAGTTTTCGGTGCCGTTGCATCCATTGCTCAAAGAGCGCTTCGGCATCTGTTGCGCATCCGCCAGGGGCGAGCACTACAGGTATTGTCCGCATTGCGAATACACGAGAGCCATCTTGTTGAGCTCTCAGACGAGTGCAATAAGCTTTCAACGGAAATTCTTGTGGAACCAAGAATCGATCTCAAAGAGCCTTCCGTTTGGCAATCAACTTCCGTTCTGGCCGGGGGTTCGATGATGTGGATGCGTAACGATCGAGTTACCATGTCCTACGCTTCCACAGCGGCATCCGCCGGGCGGAAGCCATATTCCACACGAGGGTCAATGACTTACCGTGGATGGATGCGCAACAGATCAGCCTTACGGGCAGCTTCCAGCTGTCGCTTCTGTGCCTCATCGAGGTCATTGGTGATTACATCACGTTCCTCAGGTGACGAGAAGTCAGAAAAAAGATATGGGATCCGCAAGGCGCGAGCAGGGTTCACCTCACGCCGCTGGTGCGGCTCGTCTTCCTCGTCATTCCATCCTGGAAAAGGAGTGTCAGACTCGTAGTCGACCACCTCCACATCCCCAACGAGGTCACTCGCCACCGTTAGCGTGTCTGGAGTGCGACGCTCGGGCTCATCAAGCCTAGAATTTACATCCATTGATGCCGCAGAGACACGGTCCGACATGGCACCGTGTGCGGGAGATGAAGCTGGGCTCTGCCCGTGAGCGCTGCCGGAACCAGCGATACTTGGAGACTTCGGTGTCTTTGATTAAAGGCTCATTGAGCACGGAGGTCGTTCCGTTCCAACGCAATGTCAAACGGACACGAAAGCCTCGTTGGAGCAATAATCGTTCGGAACTGTAAATTTTCTCAATCTTAATGGGGGAAAGTGTAACGGGGTGACACATACCCTGGTAACAAGGGTGTGAGTCACAACCAGATGGTCATGGTGTAACCACACCTAAACAAGAATACGGTACGGGCTGGATAGCCAGTAGTTATACATGTAATTAGATTTTACTATACATATTTATGATAATCTACGTGTTTTAAATTAGGCGGCTTCGCTGCAGATAAAAATAAGTAAAGTCAGTTTTGGATTTGAATCGAAGTATTTATTAGCCTTGGGTTAAGGCTATAATAACTTTTAGAGTTAGCGGATTGCGATCCGCTAAACTCGCACTTGTTCTAAGTATAGAACGAGAGGTCGGTGACCTAACTTTCGCTTCCTCTAAGCGCAAAGCTACGGCAGCCCCGCTGCATCCTACAGGTGGTTGCGTTGTACCAAGTTACATAAGCCGTGTCATCCGACGGATATCTCGCGAGAAATGTTAAGTCACAGTATGCGCGGGGTGACCAACTTTGTAAGAATTCTATTGTACCACATGGTCAGTGAGAGCTATCACTAATGACTCTCTTTAAGAGACATGAGTCTCACAGTCTAGGGTTGTTGATAACATCAACATCTCGGTCTTTGAGAGGCCGCAGAAAATTTTAATCGATTCCGCTGAGTCGTGCAATGATATGCGAGGAGTGACTGGCAAAAGCAGTAGGCACTACGCGGAGGCAAATATATGTCAGATGCGTACTCATTAGCTATGTACGAGTAAAGCGCCACAAATTCTGGCGAGGCTTTCTGTATAGTCTGAAAATCATGACAGCCTGAAATATCTCGTCTTAATTTCAAATTTATAACATCATATCATCCTAGGTGAAATATCACGCACAAAGATGGTTCGAAAGCTTAAGTGTTCCATGCCACGCAATTCTCACCTTCTGGAGCTTTGGGGATTCATGCACCCAGCAATACCAGCACACAGGGGCTTTTTTTTGTACAAACACGAAGCTAATGCACCTTTTGTACAGAACATGGGACATAAGAGTGTAGCAATGATATTGCTATGTACCTAAAGAGAAGATAGGAAAACAGAAGCTGCGGTGAGCTGCGTCTCAGGGCGAGACTGAGAGCAACAACCATATACCATGTGAATTTATGTTAAGGCAAGAAGTAACGACTGTATGGTACGGTCCCCAAAATGTATCTCTGGGACTGTAAACAACAGATGTAAGCCGATATCTCCCGGTTTAGACCTGGTGGAGTCAAAGACAACAGTAAGTCACAAGTTCAAGGGTGGGACAGTGAAGTGCAAAAGGATCACTTACTGAAAGGATCACTTACTCACTCACTCACGATGTAATAGCGATTCTGAGTCAGCACTAAGTGTAAAGTCTAGTATGGTGATCGTCGTAGTGGGAGACAACCACTGTATTATGATGAGTGTATTCATTACAGCTTTGTGTAATTACCCACAAGGTAATTTTGGGAAATTGTTCAAGAATCATATTCAATTTGTTTACAATCGTGAGTATTCAAAAACATTAAGGTATTATGGAGGATAGCCGGTCCAGTACCGCTATCCTGTAAGTCAGTCCGGCAGACCTCGCGATACATACAGTAAGCCGACGACTTCAAATAATGACGTTATCAAAGATTATATACTCCATATTATATTACGAACACCAGATTGTAAATTCGATCAATAAATTTCTTCCAAGTTTTTCATCGCCCACATAATTGTTATCGAACGGTGCTCCGATTCAACAACTCTCCAACGTTTGCGTCGGAAATATTCCCACCATTGACTGCACCCTTTGTCAGGTTATGATCAAGCACAATTTCCGCCGCCAATGATGTTTTAGATCAAAGACCAAGGTCACCTTCTACAAGCTATTTGGCGAGAATTACTCGACTTGGAGCCGCTACATGCATGAAATTCTCTTAGTAAATCAATTTATATGTCGTTGGATGACAGCTTTAACCTCTACGATTCGTCGAGCATCAGATGGCAAAATCAAACTACATAACGTTCGGCTTGATGCATATCCTGTGGCCAAAAGTACGACAAGCTCTTAAGCGGGTGGATGCATTTTCAGACGCTCTTTAGTGTGTCGTAGAAGGCCGGACGCGATTTCATAGGTTCAGCATCTCGATGACCGAGGCACCAACGTCTTGAACCTCTGCAACGATGGCTCCAACATTGCCGCTAAACTCAGCAGTATCCGCGCCAACATAAAGGACAAGGATACGATATGTTATTGTGTAGCCTTTTGGAACGGAGATACCCGAGCCATTGATTTACTTAGAAGAGAAAAAAATGGTGACATATTTATCTCCGATAAGACTTAAACCTCCACAAATTGTTAAGTACCTTTATATCCTGATATGATAGAATTGAGGAATATACAATAACACAGGGTGTTTAGTTAATGTTAAACACAAACAAGCATGGTTCACACAACATGTGTAATGGTTCTGGTCCATTACACCCCCACCTCAAACGTGGGTTAGTTATATTTTCTCCAAACTTTTCCGACTCTGAGAGGCAACTATAGGCGATCCCGCGCAACATAAACTGCATCGAAGACACCATGCACCAACGACAAGCGCAAAGCAAGATTGCATCTCAATCCGAGAATGCGTAGGCGTCTTCGCCACTATCGAACTTAGATAATGCTCCAATTCCACGTCGAACGATCGTCGTCACGAGTTTCGCGACCGCCACTGTGGTGCCACCCTAGCGTTTTTCGAACTCTTTAGTCCAATGAAAACTCGAGTGATGACTCGAACCGAGTATTTCTGCGCCATTGTGTTGATTACACGTGCAGGGGGAGAACCAGGACTACTTTACGAACCGTACTCTAAGCAATCCAATTTGGATTCCGTTCAACCAAATCGAAACTCGATTTTGGGCATGGGTCGTGCAATCAAATTTGTGAATATTTACCGTTTCTAAAATGCGAATACCTTTGCGGACTTGCTGAAGATACCCGATATGCGCTTTCGGATTGCTCATTTCACAGCGCAGGATCAGATTTACTAAGATATCGTAGATACTGGCGAAGTACATGTGGTCATTAATCATATTTACAACGAGAGAGAAGAGAAGTGAAAGGGACAGTTTACCTAAGCGAGGTCCATCCTTGGGCCCGTATCGAGCACGAGAACGTCATCGGGACAGTTTTGAAGGATACGACTACGAGGCTCCCCCGTGCTCTCGTTCACCGAGTTATCCAGCCATATCGTCAATAGATTCTTTTGACCGCGAACGTTCCTCTCCGCCACCACGTTCTTGAGGTGGTATTACCCTGCCGATCGAGAAAAGGAAAAGGTGACCGAAGAAAGCGTTTCCTCTGCATTTTCTGTGGCTGCTCCACAGTCTTCGTCTGAATTGTAATTTCGATTGACGAAGGCAGATAAACTCCTTTCGCTAGTGATCCGGCAAATAATTGAGGTGTTCGATCGGGTGTCGAGGAATGACAGCGTGTAAAGGATACTCGACGGGTCGTTTGCAAAATTTGCGATTTGCCAAGGCGGCATTAAAATTTCGCTTGCAAATGCAATTGAAAGTCGGATTTTTGGTTGGAACAGGCTCTACAAGATCTCCCTTCTGCTGCGGCCGCTGCCGCTGAAGATGCGAAGCCTCCTGCCAAGCGCCTTGCTCTGGTTCGGTGGAATATGCTCCCATTAGTTATTATCAACGCAATCAGCAGCTGTCTGCTTCTCATCGACGTTCCGACTCTCGCGACCGTTCGTTTGGTTCTGGACCCCACGATTATTAACGCTATTTGAGGATGACGCTGAGGCGACGACGCCAAGGGGTTCAACTTTTGACCCTCTTGTCTGAGCCGTGGCTCTGAAGCCATATTTGTATGATCGAGCGTTACATCCAGGTTTGAAATCGGGTCTTCGCGATAACAGGACTTGATCATCCCTACGTAGAACGTTGGTTGTGTCCTTAGCGAGGTTGACAGGTAGATGGTGTAAGCATCTTCATGGCATTACATCGTTCGGAATGGACCGATAACGCGCTGGAATAGCTTCAAACTTCCCAAGTTTGAGCCTGCATCGTCTGATAGACCCTAAGTACTACTTAATACTGAGTTCTAAGAGCTTATCCGACGATACAGTTAAAGGCAAATTGTCTTTGACTGTTGGGGATAACGTTCTACTTAATGTACTAAGTAGTATCAAATTTCAATGTTGGGGGTTATGTAATACTTAATACATTACCAGAGAATAGAAGAGAAGAGGGTTATGTACTACTTAGTACATATACTACATAGTACATAACCCCCGAGATTAAAATTTGACGACCTCGTTTCTCCGCGTATTCCTTCGTGAATCCTGCGCATTGGCCATTGCATTTCGCACCCGTGCGATTAAAATCACACGACTTATGGTGAATGAGCTTAGAGAAGGAGGAAAGGTGAAGTGATATTTATTATGGCCAATAAGCCTTGAGCTTACTTGAATGAGACGTGCCGCCAGATTCTTATATAGCACAATTGAGGGGTGTACATCTTTATACGGTGTATACTTAATTTTGACATACACAACTATGGTTCACACAACGTGTTGAATGGGTATGACCCACTACTCCTTTCAATAATTATTTGATAATGCCATTTTTAACCTGTGGATACGCAAGATTTTGCGGGTAAAACGTTATGTAGAAGCTGACATATGAGCAGATCAAATTTTTAAGGCAGCAAAGTCCCGGCAGTCAAAGACTACAGGCGATACGAAAGTGTTTGATATTGACCAAAATATTTGCCAGCGCATGTTTTGGGGAGGGTCCGCGACATACGGCATAGCGGGGCTGGACGAAGCAAATGAGCAACAATTGATCTGGGTGACGCAACGGTCAAAATCGTGGTCATGACGCTAACAGTGCCCACAGGCGAACGTATACAAGATCGACTAAGTCGCGGTTTCAGGCTTGCAAAAATGTGGGGTTACGGTGACCAAATGAATGTCTGGATTGTGAGCAATTGGTAGCGGTGCGATGCGCGACAAGAGATTAAAAAAGTGATTGCGCTATCATAACAGTCAGTACTCGCTAGGTATTCTAAATGCAATAGTCGTAGTGATACTAACAGTGTAGATCCTGGCTGCGCAATTTGATGCCGTCATTCGTTGTCAGCTGCAGCGCCGTTCATGCCATTCTCTCTACTACCGCGCCAGCTAACAACGGAATGATATGTATGGCACGTGTGAATTTTAATCAATGTTAAACAGTAAAGTCTTTGCGTCAGGTCAGTCAAATATACTAGATGCTTTGTAGCGATAACTCTGGGTCAATGAAAAGCTTGTATCTGCGTCGCGCTTTGTGAGGGTTTATTGTGATAAAGACATTCACAAAAATTCAACCTGAATATAGACTATGTAGTTTAAGTTGGTTTATCTCATAACACATCCACTTTGAGTCGCCAAAGTCATGATCTTCTCTTGGAGACGTTTAAGAGATGAAGAGCAGAAAAAAATCGTTTTTGTTCGAAATGTGCTGACGGGTCAAATGCTACTCACTTCGCGAGCGATAGGTCCAAGTTAGGTCTCAGCCCGTGTCAATTGCTTGCTGTTTCAGTTTGGTACATTACGCACACATTAATGTGCCATTGTAAAATCGTCGTATTTTCTTCTGCATAAAAATGTTCTGACTAAAGTACAACAAGCATCGACTGATTGAAGATCCAGTTTTAAATTATGGAAACTGAAATAACATCGGTGATCATATACTCCGAAATATGCCTTAACCGGATAATTCCTGTGCACGCTCTTACTTCGATCAGTCGTATGCGCTAACACTAGCTGTTTATATCGTCTTTGGTTTGTTAATCGGCTGATTGAACTCATGGTATTGCTGAGCGAGCCGTTGCGCCTAAAGACCGTCGCAACTTTAGTGCTATTGATTTGGAGCGCTTCAGCGCTTGTTTAAGTCAATATGAGTGGCCAGAAATGTATTCAATCTTTGCATTATCTGTATTTTTACTATAAGCACACATTGTTTTTATGGCGCGATCAATTTCAGTCGTAGCCAAGTATGTGTATCGTTTTTGGCGTCGGCTACATTTAAAGCAATTGGATTGTCCGCCAACATGTTCTCTGAAAGCTGGATGAAATCTCGATCACGCGCAGGATTCACCTCGTTCATCCTTCTACAATATTGAAAGAAAATGACAGCTTTTACGCAGTGAACCCCATTGTACACGCATGTTTACTGTTTGATGTACCTGGGAAAAGGGTCCACACATATCATATGCTAACAAGTAGTTATCAACAGATTCAGTATGACTGTATCGCGCAATTTCAAAAGAATATATTTGATATGCTCCAAATTGTGTAATATAGCCCTTCACGCATGTAGTTGAGTTAAAGCAGTTTTTGACAAACTAGGTTTTTCAATAAGCTCGTTTTGCGCGGATTGTATACCGATTAAGCGAATTGATAATGCGTCAAATTTCTTTGACATCATAAAACCAGAAGTGAGCTCCGCTTCTATTCGCTAAGAACAGCAAATCGGTTCATTTTAGGCGTAAGAATTAGCAATTCTCTCCGCCAAGCGCACTTTGCCAAGATGTATCTCGGACGTATGTACTCTTCTGTACTCTCAGATAAACAAATAGTTAGCAGGATGGTATCCAACCGCATTCCAAAATACTTAAATACTCCTATGTTCTCGATCTTCTTCTTTGTTGTTGTATTTACAATTTCCCGAGAAAATGGTTTTTTATATACGGAGAACCGGGTATTTTTTAAGCTGATTCCAGTACAAAATATGGAGTCGGTGATGCTGCGGCAAATTCAACTTTCGAGCATTATCCTGTAGTAAGTGGTGGAGACTTGTAAATGTACTCTATCCAATTTTCATAGCTTAAACTGCGCTGTATTTCATTTGAGCAATACTGCTGAAGAACAATGTTGTTGGTATATGCCTGTTTTACATGCATAAGTATCATATTTTGCTCAGATTAGCCTTGTGATAAACGCGTGGTGGCTTCACATTCATCAAAAGACATAGTTTGACTAAACTGTTTTCAAGGTTCACTGTGAGGTACCTAGCCATTTTCTACGTCTGCTCGTCCTTATCTATGGATTACTGACCAGATTGTATATTATGAAGCTGGAGTAATATTGCAGCGGGACTGCCGTAGCTTAGCGCTTGAGAAAGCGTACTTTAGGTCATCGACCTTTCGTTTTTACAAGAACTAATACAAGTGTAGCGGATCGCAATCCGCTACCTCCAAGAGTAGTTCGTACCTTAATCAACGCTAGTATACTCGTCGATTTAGATTTGAAACAGATTTTTATTTATTTTGGTCTGCGGCTAATCAGCCTAATTTTAAATGTATAGATTTTATCAAATATATATAGTAGAATCTAAATACATGCATAACTACTGGCTACCTATCCACATACCGTATTCTTGTTTGGGTGCAGTCACACCATACACATCTCTTGTGACGCACAACCCTGTTACCAGGGTACGTGTAACTCCGTTACAAATATGGTATAAATACAAAAAGTTTGGGACGAGAAAACACAGGGGATATAACAATTATTCATTGCAGTTGTACTCTAAAATCAACAATTTGTGATCATAATGATTTTTAAGTACTTGTAGAATGTAATGGGGTTACACGTACCCTTGTATGATAGGGTGGGTCGCACAAGATGGTGTGATCGTACATAAGTATGGATAACACAAGTTAGAGTAATCACACAATGGTGTGGCTACACCGTAACAAGAAGTCACTACGTGGTCGTTCAGTGTTCCCATTTCCTGCTCCACGGTGACTTGGTGTTATTGATAACATTCGACAAAGAGCTGCTATTTTCCGCAGTCTTTGTCCAGTGGATAATGTGCCACTTCACGCGCATCTGAAGGGCCTTGTCCAAAATACCTCAGACCTCGTCCGACGATGCCATGTAGCAACCGCATCGAAACGTGAGCAGTGTTCAGTAGATTACGTGCCACTCTACGTGCATCTTGCCCTCGATGCCTCGGACCTCATCCGACCATGTCACTCATGGCATGCAGCGGATGCTTCGATACTTGAGCAGCGCTCAGTGGATTACATGCCACTCCACGTGCATCACTCGGGCCAACCTTCGATGTCTCGGCCCTTGACCGACCATGCCACGCATGGCATACAGACGCCTGCTCCGATAGTTGAGCAGCGCTCGTGGGTTACCTGTCACTGCACGTTCAGCTAGTGAGTCATGCTCGAGACGCCTGCCCGATACACCTTCGGTATTCAACAACCAGGTTACTCCGATCTCCAACACGTTGACCGTCCCGGCCCAGTCCCCGCGCCAATAGCGTTTTTGCCTCCTAGCAGATGAGGGCTTGAAACTCACCAAAGCTCCACCAGGAGACGTTCGCGTAGCGTCCAGGGTCTTCAATCTCCAACCGATACATGGCTCACAGAGTCCAACCATGCTATACCAAGGAAAAGATCATACCTTGAATCCAAGTCTAGGACTAAGCAGCGTTTCACGCTATCGAGGTCAAGAAACCTGACACCGAGGTCCACATGGACCCTCGGCACAGTTGCACAATTCTTCGTCGCTTAGCGGGTAGTGGCGGTGTCACTCGACCATGCTTTCAGTGTCTCAGCGTACAGCGGACTTTCTTCGATCATGGAGCGTAGAGCATAATTGCCCGACGCCCGGAATCGATAAGTACCATCCATGACTCTTGAAAGCCCTTCACGGTTGCTTTTACAGCGGACTTTCTTCGATCATGGAGCGTAGAGCATAATTGCCCGACGCCCCGGAATCGATAAGGACCACCCATGACTCTTGAAAGCCCTTCGCGGTTGCTTTTATGACCAGCAAGTCCGGCTTGCATACACGTTCCGCATTCAAGAGAACACAGCTCTTTGGAGCTGAACCTTGCTGCCCTCTTCCTCTACGTGGCTCAACAAAACTTAATTCTTTCTCAGTAGGGTGCCCCGCGCCAACTGGGTGTTGTCGATTACCCGGGACGAACCAGAAGACTGGTAAGAAGTGGGACGTCGGTTCGATAAACCATGACGCGGCTTGCGTAGGGGACAACGAATCCAAAGGTGACGGAAGTATCCACAGATAAAACACGATCGGGTATTCAAAGGCTGCTCGGCAGCTCGGGGCTGTCCGTCCTCTTTATCAGCATTATTGAGACCATCGGCTGATGCCCATAAGTGCTGTTAGAGTGTTCATTCCATCCAAGTCGTGCCGACTCAAATCTGTTTCGGCATTTATTGCCACATTCACTACTTCTTCAAAAGAAAACGGATGCACGCGAAAACTTTCATTCTTGCCACGCCAGTGCGGAGGCCCTTTATAAAGATGGTTGCTTTGACCGCCTCGGGGAGAGGATCGGCTACCATACCAGCAATGAAAGTACGCAACGCTTGGACAAAGTCTGCCAATTCTTTTTTACCCTTAGGGTGGCAAGGAAACGCGATTGCACGCGATATGGCAGGTTAGGCGGCAAGAACACTCTTGAAAGCTACATTTTCAGCTCCGTTCAGGAGGGAAACGTTGCTTCGACCGAAGTACCGCATGTCAGTGCCCATTCTGGTGCTCGACCACCGAGCTTGGAAATAGCTAGCGCCGCGTGCTGTTGCTCAATCTGGAGCATGGCAGACGCCATTGCCATCTCGGTCTCACTCGCTCAGAGCAGAAGATTCTTTCCAATTTTGACCTCGAAGGTCTTAACGCTCACCCTGAGCGGCTTGGTGTCGAGAGAATTCATCCGTCGACATCTTTTGCTGTAGGTTCTCTAGCAGAAGATTTTCATAGATCAAAAATGCCTCTAGGCACGCACTGATTGCATCAGGCCCTTACGAAGCGAGGTGTTGCGTGCCCTCAGGGCGAAGCATATACATCATTCTTTAAGTCCGTCATGCATCACCTGGGGCAAACAGGAGAACTGATCCATCGTTACAGAGGATCAGTCGTAACGGCTCAGGCGTAGATTGGCTACAAGTGCTACCAAGTGCAGCGGGACTGTTGTAGCTCTTTAGCTTAGATATAGCTAAGCTAGGTTTGGTGACTTTCGTTCTATACTTATAACCAGTACGAGTGTAGCTGAACGCAATTCGCTTACTCCAAGAGTAACCACAACCTTAACCCAAGGCAAATAAACTCTTTCGTTCAAAATGAAAACTGTATTTCCTGGTTTTACTTGCGGCGTCTTGTGTGGCCCACCCCTTCACACCAGGGTATGTGTAATTTCGTTACAGCTAATATTCACAAAACCCAAATTGATCTCCGTTGAACTTGATTTTGACATGATAGACCACGGTCACCTATAACAACTCAAAATGGTAAGAATCCTGTCAGCATTTAAGACAAATGTGTCTACGTTGATGAAAAAAATTAATGATGTGTGGAAGGAAAAATTGAATAACGAAATGCATTTTTTCGATACCATAAACAATAATAAATGCGGTCAAACGCTGAGTCTCTCGAAGAGATGTAATGGGCTGATATAATCGAGAGAACTGACAATAGCAAGTACAATACTATCCGCTGCGCCGGCGCCGCTCGACCAGCACGAGCTTACCTTTTCCAGTGGAGCGTGTAATAGACCGGCGTAGATACGAAAGGTGTAAGCAGTATTGGTGAAGGCAAGATATTACATTAAATTTGGAAATCCTTGGGAGATCAAGATTCCACCTTCGGCAAGGTTGAGTTTGGTGCCGCGGTCACTCATAGCTTGGTGCAACCGACATCTTTACCTCATCAGATTGAGAAACAAGGTCGCCCTGCTCAACGCGCTTCACATTGTCAGGCTTCTCAGCACGGTGTATGCTCGACAACTTGTACTGAATGTGTGTAGTGGGTGTGATTAACTTCCGGGTAGACTGTTACTTTTAGTGCTCATATAGAGGTGTATGGGTCAGGGAGAAGCATGATAATATTAGATTTTTTTTATAAGAGATGTATTTAATAGTTTTCAATTAAGACTACGATTTTTCAGGTGATGCCGCTGTATTACCTTATGCTAAAAACCATTTTGGCCATACAGTCGTCCTTGGTGGTTGTAGGCACAAACTTTGGCTGAAGACACTAACATTGAGTTTCTACAAGTAATTAGCAAATATATGAGATGCTCTTATTTTATTGGCTGATAGCTTAGCAAAGTAATGAGTATCATGACATTCCTAAAAAAAATATTCTGTTCTTGCAGGAATGGTGTTACGTCGCAGTCTGCAACACGTGCTGAGGGCACCGCAGCAGACAAAACACTTTGCATCTGCTATAAAAATGGCGATAGATAATACTTCATCAATTGCAAGTAATAATGGAGCCAAAGAACGTATGTTGTGATGGCGCTGCTTTTTATATTCGAGCTATTCTACTGACGATCTTTCTGGCCACAGTGGACTGTTGGAAGTGCCACCACGCAACAGACTGCTGCTCATTTTTCTGCAAGTCATGCAATGTTATCCAGCCTATCGACAAAGGTTGCCACTGCGACTTCTTTGAGATTTTTCGAGTGTATGCCCATATTTTGTTTTATTAGAAAATTGTTCATAACTGACGTGACATCGTGTAATAGCCCCAAAACTTTTGATATAGGACAGCGTGCCATTGAGCGAACGTATTGGGACCTACAGAAACGTTTGCATCCCGACTTGTACGGATCTAAGTCACAGGTGCTTTTTGACAATTATTTCGGTGTACAACCGAAAATGCGAAGGTTAATGCTATGATAATCGTTTACTGTAAGACCGAAAAAGAAATTGCTGCGGTAAACTCTGCTGTAGTTAACGATGCGTACAAGATGCTGAAGAAGCCTAATATGCGTGTCAAGTACCTAGTTAGTTTATGAATACTTCTGGTTGTTGTTTTTTACATCTCGAACTCAAACGCAATGTTTGCTCGCAAAAGCTAGCGCTGCATGGGATTGATGCACTTGGTGAGACTGCGAGCACGGATGTTGATCCTGAACTTTTGATGCAGACGATGGAAATAAGGTTCAATTTAGACAATGGTCTACCTGGTTAATATGCGTTGACTAACAGATACTTCCCGATGTAAATTGCTGAAGAGAGCGAATTGCTGACACAACTGACCCAAATGCGCTGCACGAGATTCGCGAAGAGGTTTCAAGGCACATCGATGCTATCATTAAAAATTTGAAAGAAGTGTATGACATGAAGCAAGACCTTACTGCCACGACGCGATACGCCATTGAGCTTCAGTACATGGTCAAATGTGCAGAAGAAATCGAAATGAAAGAGGAAAAGTTAGACGGATAACAGCTTATCATCTGCTTTCGTGTATAGCTCATAATACGGTAATTATTTATATTTGCCTGAATATACGTCATCATACTACGCGAACGCCGTGATCTCGTCCGTAATACTTGAGACATGCTATGAATACTAGCAGTGCCGCGTTCATGCATAAAGTCAGCCTGTTCATCAGAAATATTGCTGGAGTTTTTATGACTCCAGCAAATTTCGCGGATAGTGCCTAGCAAAGCTTTTGTCAGCAGGTGATTTCTATATCACTGCAGTAAACGATTGACGTTGGTTGACACAGGTAAAGCGGATCACAGTGTTTTTCACATACCAAAAGTTTTTTATAATCTTTTCCACATTTACGAAGTAAAACAAAATGAACGATTAGTGCATTTAGTGCAAAGTTTAAGCAGAAAATGTCGACGACATCGTAGTCGTGAAAAGCTTGCAATCTATATTGCTATTATACGCGATCCATGGTCTCGTCTTGCACCTCAAAGCCTTTTTCGCGCTCCCGAAGCTCCACGTTCACCTGTGCGGTCATGCAACCCTGTGTAGTAGCGTACGTGCATTGCGCAATGCAATACATTAGGTCTGCCAGGTCGCCCAGCTCCGAGATGCAAATAGACAGTAGACTACAGACGCAGCTGACTAATTGTATGCAATTGTTGCATCGCTACATAAACAACATTTTGATAGCAACTGAGATTCAACAACAAAAATCTGTACGATTATAACCCCACGCCACGTACAATAATTCGATTGTCCCACTTGTCTGGTTGCAAGCGGTAGCGATCCATGACGAGCATGCGCGTGGCTGACACGGCGCAACCATTGCAGCAAAAAGACTAGATTCAATGAAAGGAAATGAGAAAAGAACATCAATACATCTAATCAAACAGGTCGAACATAAGTTTACAAACCTCAAGACACAGGCAGCAGTTGGGACAATTGGACTCGCCGCAACTACCGGAGCGAACGCAGGGCACAACGCCATCCATATAGCCCTGGCAACACGTGTAATTGGACATATCGTAATTAAGCGCCTTGCGCCGAATAATAACTTGTGCGCAGCATGGACACAGACACGAGCTCAGACAACCTTTCAGAACGAAAGAAGCACGTGAGCAAGAGCTTTTCATAGCAAAAAGACCTCATTAATTTAGACCTACACAAAGGATCAGCGCCAGGGGCATGCATCATGCCTACGTGAAAAGTGCCTGGGTTGTTCTTGCGCACATCATCCTCAACAGGGTCGCCCGAGCACAGAATGCACATAGCTGTAGAGTCTTTTAAATTTGTGAACTGAACTTCACTGTCGCAACTTTGATTTTGAGAAAAAAGCAGCGACGGTTAATTCTTGGGCAGTTAATATACCGGTGAATGTCCAGCTGCTATGGGTTCACTTTTTGGGATTTTGTTTGACGCGAACTATGAGCTCAGTTACTTATTAAGTGGATTTTAAATACTTAATCAATATGTTGGATTGTCATTCAAACTTATCGCGCACATATAATTTCTAATTTGTATCATAGGCAATTTAGTACAACACTTCGTAGGCGATTAACGTACCCATTTCCTCCCCCTTTTCTATAAGCTTTGGTTGTCTATGTTCAGCGTTGTCACGACTTGTCCTATTAACTCAAACGGAATTAAATAAAGTGAAGTTGCGCTACGCTTCTGATATTTGCATTCGAGTACCCGACATGGTACATATTATCTTTTTAAGCCCAACGATGCTGTAGGGTAGCATCTTTGGGTAAC